CAGGAGCTTCTCAGATTCTGTTGCATCCATCTGGTGAAGAGCCCGGGCGACGCTATCGAAGTCCAATCGACCGCGAGTGAGCGTTAGGAGGCTCTGTTGGCCTTGCTGAGAGAGACCCGCACCTTCTTTTAGGAGACGGCCCTTGAATTTTGCAGAGAACCACATGCCATGACCTTCTGCTTCCGCCAGCTGAGCCTTTCTACGGATGACATATTGCACTAGCGATTCTCGAGGCTCTCTGGCAGCCTCGAAGAGGGCTGGCAGCCTCGAAGAGGGCTTTCCGACCAGCGCGTCGCAGATCTTCACATTCACGCTCACCGGACATGACGTCCATTCTTTTCATAATGACATCGAGCCATCTCGAACTGTTGAGGGTGGCCTCTGGGAAATCCTCGAACTTCGCCTGGAAGCTCCACTCGAATAGCTTGAGCACCTTCTCCGCTGGTCTCCAGAAGGCCACGTCGGTATTTGTATTCCATCGCCGAACGGCGCAGGCCCATTGTTGGTAGTGACTCCAACCCGGCCAAACCGGCGGGTCCGAGTAGTCTCCTGTGCTGGCGACGCCTGCACTCCAGCCGCCCGTCCACCAGTCAGTGGCGTCCCTGCCACTAGACCAGCGATCCCAGGCAGCTGCCCCCTTGCTGTCGTCGCCGCCGTTGGCGTTCCACTCGCTGCCGCGCCAGTCATTCCGGTGCCAGCAGCTCCACTCGGACTGCTCCCGCTAGTCGCGGTCCTCTGTTCGCGATGGGCTCTCGCACTATGTTCGCTATGACCTCACGCAGCTGGCCCGGTGTCATTCCTGCCGTGTCCTGGCGGGCACCGGCTGCGTCTGAACTGCCTGCCTCGCCGGGTGTCTGCTCCTCCGCACCTGTACCCATGCCGTGGAAACCACGCAAGTCAGGCGGCGGCAGCGAGGCCCCGGCCGGATGCTCTCAAAGAGCTACAGGGCGCGCCGCCTCAGCTCGTCGCCTCGCCCCCCATTGGCTCCCGGCGGGGTGCCCCGCTCCGCTACCAACTGTGGCAGAAACTGCCCTCCCCAAGTGTTTTTTAGCCTGGAGCCAACATGACATAATCCACGGTGCTGAATCTAAACGATTATATGTGGAGCACTTCCACAGGGGGTCTGGGCGCACGCGCCCTGTCGGCTGGTGTTCCCAAGGATCCGAAGACATGATGTTTTCCATCCGGCGTCTTTTCCTCCGCGAGGCCCATTATCGGGCCCAGGCCCGGCCATCACGTGGCGGCGCGCAGGACCCAGACCCCTGCGGGTCATGAAAAAATCATGACGGGCGGTTTTTCTTTTTTTTCTGCCGCCTGACCCTCGGGTCCGTCGAAAACGACTCAGGATGAAAAACCAACGCTGGGGAATTGGAAGGTCATGACAAACTCATGACGTCGGGGGTCTGGGGGGTGATTTGGGGAGGGGGAAAAAGGCTTCTCAGAAGGAGGCTGCTTCTGAAAAGGCGCCGGCCTTACGGCTACAGACAGGGCCCGCGCCGTCTAAGAGGCAAGGATGTTTCCAAGAAGCCTCCCCCCCCTCCCGCATATACCACCCTCTGCGCATGGCCGACTGCCGGGGAGGCACCCGCACGTGGCCGATGCAGAGCCCTGGGGTCGGAATAGTCAGGACCGGTGCAAATGGCACCCAGGCCTTCGACGTCGCGACTGACCACGCAGGCCCCCAGAGGATCGAAACGATTCCCCGAAAAAGGGGAGGCCCGGCGATTGAGCAGGGACTGACTGTCCCGGCATTCCTTTAGGCCTAGCACGACATTGTCTTACAACCCCCAAATGTTCCAAGAACAACGACAATATTCTTAGAACGGAAGCCCGATGTGTAAAAGCAAATCAGACTCAGCCATACATGTTCTAAAAACATTTTTATGCAAAGCAAAAATAAGTCCTTAGAACATTGTTCGGGCCGGGCGAAAGGGGGGGATAGCAAAGGGGCGGTTTGAGAATCAGCTCACGTAGCAAACTTTCCCGGCGCCTCCCGGCGCCAGGAGGCGGCCAGGCATCGAGGAATGGGCCCCACGGTGAGGCCGAGACCAGCTGCATGCCATTTCGCACCCCCCCCTTTCCCTATCCCCCCCTTTCGTCAGGCCCGAACTGTTTGGTAGGTCTTCAGGCGAGCCAAGACGCTTCGCCACTGCTCGAGGCGAAGGCCTCGAGAAAAAACTGGGACCGGCCGAATATTCTAAGAACAAAAATAATCTCCTTAAAACATAAGCCCGATGTATTCAAACAAAACACATTCAGCCAGAAATGTCGCGCAAACCAAAAAAGGTTCTTAGAACATTGTTTGGTAGTCCTATGGGCGAGCCAGGACGCTTCGCCTCGAGGAAAAAGCTGGGACCGGCCGAGATTCTCGGGTACCTGTCCTGCTGCACGGCGCGAGGGCCCTGAGATCCGACGCTGCGAGGAAACTCTCAACGGGCCCTGGGCGTTATTTGCCTGTCATATCACAACAAGTGCAACACCATGTCAACTCTGAATGGAAGGATTCTTAAAACAACCGCATGTCAACACAAATGCAATAGAATCGGCATTATCTTGGTCTTGGGATCCTCCTTTGGTCTCGGGCTGAGTATGCCCAACTATTCGGGCACCCCTGGTCCAGTTCGCCCTCAGCGTTTCGGCGTGTGGTTGGCCATCCTCTTCAGGACCTGCCACAACCAACCACACGGGGCAGGCCGACGCTGTCACGAACGACGTCCCTGTTTCCTTTGGGACTCCTTCGTACACACCAAAGTTGCCAGAATATGTCAAGCAAAGCTATTGGAACCTGCTCATTTGGCCTTCAAAGACGGGAGAGAACAACTGCCCCCTCTTTCGTGACACCGTCGGCACCTGGCGGACTGGCCGCAAGTGCCCCGTTTTTCCTTGAATGTCTGACCCCCCGCCCCCGTGACTTGAGCACTGACTGGAACACAGGACGGCGGAGCCGACTTCACAGCAGGCACGCCGGAATCTCTCTGCATCACGCGCAGGCATGCCGGAATCTCTCTGACTAATGGGAAAAAGGCTGCGCCGCCGAAGACGAGCTCCTGGAGAGTTTCGGCTGGTAACCTGTTATTTGCCTGTCATGTCACAACAAGTGCAACATCATGTCAACTCTGAATGGAAGGATTCTTAAAGCAACTACATGTCAACACAAGTGCAATATAATCGGCATTATCTTGGTCTTGGGATCCTCCTTTGGTCTCGGACTGAGTATGCCCAACTATTCGGGCACCCCTGGTCCAGTTCGCCCTCAGCGTTTCGGCGTGTGGTTGGCCATCCTCTTCAGGACCTGCCACAACCAACCACACGGGGCAGGCCGACGCTGTCACGAACGACATCCCGTTTCCTTTGGGACTCCGTCGTGCACACCAAAATTGCCAGAAGATGTCAAGCAAAGTTATTGGAACCTGCTGATTTGGCCTTCAAAGAAGGGAGGGAACAACTCTGGGGCACACAGATAAGCAAATATAGATATTACAGGAGCCCCCATCTTTTGCCCCACATTTCCGGGGTCTTCGTCCTCCCCCCCTCAATTCCCACATTTCCCCAGATTTTCCGGGGGGACCGACGATGGATTGTGTCTCTGTGTGTGTGTGTTTGCTTTTTGTCCCTCCTGGACCCTGAGATCCGGCGTTGCAAAAAGACACCTCGACTGCTGCATTTTCCAAACGGGATCGATATGTGAGGGTCCTGGGCCCATGGGCTCGCAACAAGGCAACACCGCCCGCTGGGAAGAGCTCCGACGCCCGAAGCCCGAGGCAGAAGAAGCCGAAACTGGCCAAACACATCGCTTGTTACGCTGTAACGACGCGAGGTGGTCTTGGGGAAACCAACAGGTACCAATACAGCTTCTCCCCCGACCTCTCCCGAATCCAGCGGCGGCGACGAGGGCCTCCCAGGAGGCCCAACACAAGGGAAAACGGTCGAGGGGTAGCGGTATGGGTCGGAGGTTGGGGGGTGAGATCGCAGTGGAATGGAGACCCCCAACCAGGAAATCTTTTCGTTTCGTTCGTGTTGTGCGTGCGGGCGAGGCGAAGCTGCGTGGGCGCGTGAGAGAAATGAACCCGCCGTTGCTAGGGCGAAGTCAAGTCAATTGTTGCTCCCCCGTCCGTCCGTCCGTCCGTCCGGCGGTGGCCCTAGCGGTGTCCCGCGGTGTCCCGTGGAGTCCCGTGGTGTCCGCCGTTGCTGAAGCGAAATCAGGACAAATGATTCTCCCCCTGTACGTCCGTCCGGCGGTGGCCCGCGATGTGCCGCGGTGTCCCGTGGTGTCCCGCGATGTCTCGTGGTGTCCCGTGATGTCCCGTGGTGTCCCGTTGAGTGAGATCAATAGTGAGATCGATACTGAGATTGATGTGGTGTCCCGAGGTGTCCCGTGGTGTCCCACAAAGTGAGATCGGTAGTGAGATCGACAGGTGTCCCGTTGAGTGAGATCGACAGGGAGATCGATAGTGAGATCGATAGTGAGATCGATGTGGTGTCCCGAGGTGTCCTATGGTGTCCCGTTGAGTGAGATCGATAGTGAGATCGATAGTGAAACCGATCATGAGATCGAACAGAGTCTTGCGGTGTCCCGTGGTGTCCCGTTGAGTGAGATCGATAGTGAGATCAATAGTGAGATCGATAGCGAGATCGACATGTGTCCCGTGGTGTCCCGTGGTGTCCCGTTGAGTGAGATGGATAGTGAGATCGAGTGAGTCAGATCTTGGTTCCCCCCCATCCCCCACCCCCCTACAACCTCCTTATCACCCGAAGGGTGGTCGTATAGATACCTTTTCGTCCTCCGAGGTCTGGTTTGACCACCTACCAGAAGACCCCGACCCAACCCGAAGACCCGAATTTGATCCGAATTTCGGGTTGGGGGGGGGGTACGGATTCCATGTGCTTTTCAACGCTCCCCGACCCCCTCCCACTGGAAATGGAGGGCAAATCAAATCGAGGCCTTCGGGTTGGGTTGGGGTGGTTTGGTGGGTGGTGATGGTTAGTTGGCATCCTCCGACCTCGCGGCCTCCGGCAGGGCCCCCAGGGGCGACGCCGGCGCTGCGGCGCCCGCGTGCGCAGCGGAGGCCCTGGCAGGCCCCCCGCGACCGAGCCCTGGCGCCGCCTGGCCCACTCCGGCTGCGATGAAGCCCCGCAGCCGGTCCATCACAACCTCAACGGAAGGAACAACTGGGCTTAAGTCGGGCCTGTCCCCCTACAGGCCCTACAGGGGGATTTTGGGTGAAAAATGAAAAATAATCAAAAAATGCGCCAAAATTTAGAAAAATGGTGAAGAAATCGTCCCCAGACTAGTTTCTGACTATTTTCGATCCCTCCTGTAGAGGGACAGGCCCGACGTAAAACTGGGCGACGATCAAACCCAGACCCCCTCGGGTCGTGAAAAAATCGATCTTCGGCCCCTGGGGGCCCTCAGCGGGCCTCGGGATCGTCAAAAAACGGGTCGGGACGAAACACCTGTCTCAGGAAAGGGTCCAGCCGCTGGGGGTCCACGTTATGAACAAGTCTTGACGCCGGCGTAACGACCTTGCGCCGCAGCTTACGTGGGCCGCCGGTGCGGCACGCCAGAATGAAGACGAGGGCACTCACGCGCAACCTCACACGGGCAGCTTGCGCGCCAATGTCGGCGCAGACGACCCCGCTTTATCTCGTCGCCCAACTGAAGAGGCAGAAACTTTCCGAGGTCTGCGCAGAGACCTTGGATCGGCGCTGGGTCCCCCTCCCTGGCGCGCTCCGCGCGCCAAGGAGGGGAGCCGAGCGCCGATCCAGGAAATCCGCGCGGAGCTCCGAGACTTTCTGCTTAATGCTTAGGTCGGGCATGTTCTCTTACAGGGGATTTTGGACGACAAGTCTAAAAATATCAAGAAATACCCTCAAATAGAGGAAACAAATCGCAAAAAAGACGTCTCCTGATTATCTTTTACTATTTTTGAATGCTCATCCTCTAGAGGGACGTGCCCGACTTGAGCTTGTTCTGTCTCTCCTGCTGCGAAACCTGGTCGGCCGTCTCTGGATCATCCAGCGGGGCGGGCGCTTCTGGGCCAGGCAGGGGCGGGCGCTTCTGGTGGCTGCCATCGGCGCCGGGGGGCCCCATGCAGAGGAGCACGGGGAGCCAGCACGCTGCGGGCAAGAGGGCTGAACATGTTGGCCGCTACACCATGC